ATATATATTCTGAACCCCATGTGGATTTACACAAACTGAGAAAGTCAAAAAGTGTTACTTTGTGCCCCGCTCTCCCCTACCCCTGTAAATAAATTCAATATAAATTCACGTCTCACGCACTTTAATGCCCTTTGAATGTAACGTGTACGTTCCCTTGGAACTGGAATCATGGCGGAATTTCATGTGAAGTCCACTTCGCAGGGCACTTACGGTCGAATAAGACAACGCGTGAATGCTGCCTGAACAAGAGACCTCCTTACTGAAGGGAAAGTGTTGACTGGTGTCACTATCTCGCGAACGCGCCGGCGGATCTCCACCAAATTCGGGGGATCCCTTCAGCTCGAGGAGCCCTCTCGAACGCCACCCTCCGCGCGTCGGTAGCCCCCCGGGATCGCTTGATCGGTTGGCGCCGGACCGCAAATTTAACCACCCGTAACGCGGGGGTGGTCTCATTCGAAAGAGGGCCTCGAGACGTACACTCGATTCGCGTTCGAGAGGGTTCCTCGAGCTGAAGGGATCCCACGAATTTGGTGCGGATTCGCCGTGCCATTACGGAGATATGGCCGTTCAAAGTTTAAATGGTTTTCCATAGACTTAAGCTTTAAAGCGTTTCATCCAGGTCGCCAGTAGCAAACAATGGAGCGCGCTCTGCTGGACAAACTAAGTAATTACACCATTTCAAGCATTTTATCTGCATTATATGTTCTGTAAAAAAAAATGTCGTATCAGCGGCATATTTGCCGATACCGATATATCGGCGACAGGCTAATATCGTCCGATAATATCGGCAAAACGATATATCGGTCGGGCTCTAATTAAGACCCCTCACTTCAGGAAATTGGATATTAAACAATGGCACAGCCATTCCCGTAAATTTGCATGTTTCATCCATTTGACGCACACCATGAAGGAAAAAAAAAAGCATAAGTATGTATTTTTTTTAATACTGAACCAATATGTGAAGCTAAAACTCAAATGCTACAGTAACAATCTTGTGTTTTGGCTAGGAAAGAGTTAATACACCTCCCTCCCCCTTCTCATGACCCCTCAGGATTTGATTAATGATATCATCATTGAGATTTATCTCCCCGGCCCCATTCATAAGACAATATCGCATAACATCCTGTGATACCTGATCAAATCAGCAGAAGGAGAAAGGAGAGGTGCTCTTCGGAGGAGAGGGCTCTACTGTCGGGGAAAGATGGATAGATTCAGACAGAGGGCCGAGGAGGACGGGCACAGACTGGGAGAAATATTGCGGGAGATATTAAATAAACGAGTGTGTGTCACGTCTGGAGCTAAACGCTAAGCTAATAAAACGGGTGGCGGGTGGGTTGCGCTCATTGCTCGCTCTTCTCTATGACATCAAACAGCTGCGGTGATTCATACCCCGGTCGGCTAAAACACTTAATGCCCCCCGATACAATGCTACGGCTAGTCTAAACGGCTGCCTGGTGCTCTGAGTGTGTGCGCAGAGGGAGGACGAAAGTGAGCGAGTCTCTACGGAGGAAAGCAATGAATCAATCTAAGCTGTCACACTCCTGCAGCTCCACTTAGGAATTCCGTTCTGTCCATTTTCATCCTCCTACTTGCACACCCACGCTCGGACAGAGCCACACAGTGTTCATAAGATCATCCACTAACATTTATTTCCACACACTCAGTCAAACCTATCAAGCAACAGTGTGCAAAGTCACACTTTTAACTGCTGGTCATGGTAAACATGGTTAGCAAACAAGATTTCAATTGCATACCGTAGCTGACATCAAGCTTGCGCTACAGACAAAGTCATTCGCAGATTCACACTTGATTGGAGATGGGTGAGAAGTAGGGCTGGGCAAAAAAATAGATTTTTCGATATATCGTTTTTTAAAATGAGGACGATTCAATATCGAGCGCGTCACCGACCCCCACCGTCGTTTTGATTTTTCTAGAAATAAAAATAATTTAGTTCAGTAAAAGAACAGACACTACAATTAAAAACTGAATGCGGCTGCTCAATGCACGTTGTATTTTGTTGTTGCATTCAAGCAATTGACGCCTAACTGCCGCTAATTCAAAAGTGAAAGTAAAATGCGGATGGTGCTTTTAAGCTATTTAAAAGTGACGGAAAGTGAGGAAAAGAGGGACAATTCAAACGAACTAAAAACGAACAATTGCTTTACGCCGAATTGCCGCTATTTGAAAGTGAAAGTTACCGGCATTACCGGTGTTGTCACAAGTCGATTAACCCGGTGGGAAAATTTCCTCACCGTCACAACCCTAATTCAGGTGCGTTCCCGACGTCAACACCACCTTCACATAAAAAGGTATGGAAGCATTTTATATTTCGCAAACACGATGACAAAGATACTGTGGACAAGAACAAAGCTATATGCCAGACAGTTGATGGGCCCTATTGACTTGACTTCCATAGTATGGAGAAAAATATATGGAAGTCAATGGGGACCAAAACAGTTTGGTTATCCATATTCTTCAAAATATCTTCTTTTTTGTTCAACAGAAGAAAGAAACTCATACAGGTTTAGAACAACTTGCGGATTAAATGACAGGATTATCATTTTTGGGTGAACTGTCCCTTTAAGAAACACAATAATGTCTTGCATTAGCAACACTTTGACGTTTGACAATACAACTTCCAACCGATCTCCATTACTTTTTAATTCATTTGACTTTTAGCTTAGTGCTTGAATATCTCTGTTCCCAACCACTAGAATATGGAAATAACTTTTACTGTACCTTACACTTTCAAAAATGCTGGGTTGTTTCAACCCAACTTTGGGTCAAATATGGAAAATCTATATTCATTCATATAGTCAAATCGAATCGAAAATCGAAATCGATTCGAATTGAGAGCTTGAAAATTGAAATTGAATCGAATTGGAACATCTGAATCGATACCCAGCCCTAGTGAGAAGAACATGTTCGTGACGTGCTGACGAGAAAAATCAATTGCTTCGGGTCTGCTGTGCTTATTCATGGCCGCCCGCACAAGATTGATTCAGCTACACTAGAAGCCTTTCCCTAGAGAAGAAGCCTCAGTGGAGACCAGAGACAGATAGAGAGGACGATGAATTGCGGGGGTGCATTTTAGAAATACTCAGGAATGTTCTCATTATTAATAAATAAAAATTGTGTTCATGAAATGTAAAAATAAATTATAGTAAGTCTATATAAAGCAAAAATAAGTATTTATAAAACAAACACTAAAATAAAAATATTAAAATGAAGTATAAATCAAAGTAACAAATATTACTGAAATTAAAAACAAAAAATATATAAAAATAAGTCAGTGTGCTAAGAGTGTCAATCACACAAATTTATTGAACTTGTGAACAATCTTGCAGTCCCTACACAAACTAATCTCACCCCAATACACCAGAAAACACACTGCCACTGTGGACAGGTGTGTGTTTGTACTCACTTCTCGATCTCACTGTTTTTACAGGTCCTCGGTGTGGAGGACGAAGATGAAGAGCTCGGCTCCTGTTTGCTGCTCTCGCCATTACTGGTGGATGGCATTTCTGCAAAAATAAACAAACAGAGCATATATAACGAATGAGGGCCAACAAAAGTAACGTTTCATTCTATAACAATGCAACTTAAATATATAGACAAAAAACAGGGTTCAGGTTTTTTATTTTATTTTAACAGCGATTGAATTTAGGTAAAGCAATTTCTGGATTAAATACTTTAGAGCACAATTACAAAAATGTATATACTTACTGCTCAAAAGTTTGGTGTTTTTCTTTCTTTTTAACCATTTATTTGACCAAAAATAAAGCAAAAACAGTAATACTGTGAAATATTATTACAATTTAAAATAACATTACTATTTTAATATACATTAGAGTTAATATATTAAATATGATTAAATATATTATGTTTAATATATTTAATACACAATGAAAACATTTTTTTTTCAAGATTCTCTGATGAACAGAAAGAAACCACATTTATTTGAAGGCCAACTCACCATCACTGGCCCATTTTGAGAACTCTGGTGTTATTCTATTGGACGGTACACCACCACTACAGAAGAAAGAAAATAAAAAAATTGTGCAAAAGCCAAGTCTATAGATTTGTTATGTCATTTTAAAGTCTGTGATGAAATCATTTCAGTGAAATCCAGCTTACTTCAAAACGGCCCCACGCAGTGCCTCACGTTCTTTGGCCTCTCCCTGGTCCTCTCCAGAACAAGGAATGATGTCTGCTTCAGTGTACCTGAAACCTCGAGTTAAGGAACAACTGCTTCTAATTTCTGTTACTGTTTCTGTGCCCACTACAGCACCACTGTAGAGCAAGATGTCTCAAGACGACTAATCAAGGATACTGGGCTTTGCCGTACTCCAGTGTGTCATCTCCATCCACATCCAGGTCTGCATCACTGTCATGGCTCTCCTTCGTGCTACATATGGCAAAGCCTGTTCCTAAAAAGAGGGAGGAGAGGAATAACAGTCATCAATAAATTAAATTTGGGTTTAAATCCTTTGTTGCATTTAATAATATACATTATATGTTACAATAAATCTATCACTAGCAACCATCTTCAACCGTAACAGTCCCAATCCAGGACAGGTTTGTCATGCCAGAGAAACCTCAATTAGGAAGGCCTGTTGTAGCTGTGAGCAGAACCAGATTACTGCAGACAAGCCAGGAGCCTGGTGCTCTGGGCCCAGATGGAGCCATCAGAGACAGTCTGAATGGGAGTTGTGTCAGGTGCCTGTCAGGGAATGGGACCTGAGCATTGGGGCGTGCAGCCTGAGTGGCACTTCTGTAAATCCAGTGATGAGCGCACAGACAAACTCCAACCGCTGGCTGACTGGGTCCTTCAGTTCTGGTTAGGAAGAGGTTGGATCGGTAGCAGCCTGAAGGGTGGGAGCAGCCCAGGCCCTTCAGGGGCTGATGGAAGGATGTCAGGGCACTGCTGGAGAACGGGTTTGTCACGGATGAGGAACTGAGGTAGGAAATGGAAATGGAGAATAGTACTTCCTCTTGTTCCTCAAAGCGCTACGACACAGGATGACTACTGCGCAGTGTGGAGTGGATAACTACAACCTTCAGGGAGTGTTAGACACTGATGGAAAAGAGGAGGAGGACTGAAAGTGGATGTGGCGGCCATGATCGGTCTCTCCCCTTCTCCGTAAAGGGATCCAAAAGAGGCAGAGTAGGGATAAAATGCATCACAAATGCTTGCCCTTTTTTTACAATGTGCGATGGTTTTTAGTGATCAAATAAAAGAGACCTTTTAAGTTTTATTTGGTCCCTGTGACTGCAGAGGCATATGTGCACAATAGCTGAGCTACATAAATCCAAGCTCCTCAACAGAGAATCAGGGTTCAACTGTGCGCAACAGTCTAAATGTACATTACCTTTCAACAATAACTTACAGAATTAATCATATCGCTTACAGTTTTTGTCCATTGATATTTACCAATAGCAAAGCATTATTTTAATAAATTATTGATAAATGTTTTTCAAAGAAGTCTTTCATGCTCACTAAGGCTGCATTTATTTGATCAAAAATACAGTAAAACAGTACTATTGTGAAATATTATTGCAATTTAAAATGACTTTTCTATTGTAATATGTTTTATAAATTTAATTTATTCCTGTGATCACAAAGCTGAATTTTCAGCAGCCATTACTCAATTCTTCAAAATCACATGATCCTTCAGAAATGATTCTGATATGCTTATTTGGTGATAAAGAAACATTTTTCATTATTCTCAATGATGAAAAGAGTTATGCTGCTTAATATAGTCGGAAACTGTAATACATTCAGAATTCTTTGATGAACTGAAAGTTCAAAAGAATAGTATTTATTTGAAACAGAAATCTTTTGTAAAAATGTGTTCACTGCTCTCTTTTTTTTCCAATTTAATGTGTCCTTATCGGATAAAAGTATTCTTTAAAAACTTTTGAAAAACTTTTGAGCAGTAGTGTAGCTTGGTTAGAAATGTTTAATAGTATTTAAGTATGGGCAATCTTTAGTCATAGTGGCACGGAAGTGCAAGAATGGATGGAAAGTGTGTGACCGCATTAAAACATGAACCGTGGGTCCTGTGTTTGGCATCACCTCATTCTAGCTTGGAAATAGTGTGTTCTATAGATAACCCTCCCACTCCTCTGACCCAACTGAAGGTGGGTGAAGGGTACAGTTAGCCAAAAATAAAAGACCATAATCTGTAAATGATGGTGAACATTTTATTAATGAACTGTCAACAAGCTGCAAAGAAAGCCAAACCGGGGGAAGAAATGAGGGAAACAATTATAAACATAGTGACCACTAATAGCAGGCAGGCCAGAGGAAGATGTTGCAGGCCATAAGCAGCCAAAAGAAAAAAAAATCACTGTAAAATCAATCAATTGATCAGGCTATGGATCCTGGCTAATGCTTTGCTAGAACCAGGGCAGGAAGAATGTCATGCAGCATTGATTCAGCACGAACAGGAAGACTGTCCACTTTAATGTGTACACTGACGAAACTTAGCCAGACTGAAAAAAGCAGGGCACACCTACTCAGGCAACCACAACATCAAAACGGCCACCTGAATGGTGTATAACTACCCGAGCAATGGGTGTCTGACTGAAAAAGCTGGGGCTACTGTTAAGTGGTCTTGGCAGACAATCTAATCTGTACCGAAAAGGTCAGCGCAACTCTAACTGCCTCTCAGTCAAATTATGCACGCCGTCGCACCGCCTCTTTGCCCAGCAGCCTCTGGGACATAAGCTTACTCCTGTTCTTCGTCACTGTGTACACTGGATGAATAAAAAACTCCACTGTCTTCCTTACAATGTAGCCTGTATTTACCAGTATTGCTCTGCAATACTTTTCATGACAATAAGAGCCATTTGCAATGTGTCATGTTCAAAGCAGGTCTTGTATCTGTTTAAATGTTAAGTCGTTACATGCATAAAGCACATTTTCCTTGTTGGGTCACATTTTGCAAGCTGATTTACATATGCCATGATTGTTAAGTGCTAATCTACATATGTCACCCAAGACAGGTGTGTCATGCCACAGCAAAGAAAGGGGAAGCAGAGATCCCAGAGAAACAGGACATGAAACATGGCCTCTCCTCCACCTTGTTGCCATGACACTTATCTGCCTTTCACAGTTTTTCACAGGTCAAAGTTCATCCAATCAGGATGGCATTTACCATGTATGCCTGCCAGGGAGGGGACTCAAAGCTGCCATCTCTCAAGGCTCTTTACAAAGACGAGCGGCGGGCCTCTGTTCTTCTTTCCCGACTTCACCAAATCTCCTCCATCTCTGCCATCGCTATCTCTTCATCAGCCCTGCTAAGCCACGGACACAGGAGGCCTTATGGGCCTCCAACACAAACTGATCTTCTTCGATTTCTCTCTTCCTCTTGGTCTCCCTTTTCCCTTATCATGCTCTTTTTGTTCGGTTTAAAGCGTTTCCTCTCTGCTTTCTTCCTGGGTCCTCAAAGAGAGAGAGCTGCTGGTGCTTCAGGGACTATAGCCCTCTTATCCCATTGAAGACTCCTTTCAAGCCCCCCTCCCCAGTCTAGCTCCCCCTGGGCTGGAGAGATTCTGCAATGCAGACCGATTGAACGCTTGAGGACTTCAGCTGAGCTTTCAAGGCAAAATCCACCTTCTGAGCATCCTAGGGAGAGCTTTCAAGTGGCCCCTGGGCCATCGAGTCACTTCTCACTAGGTCCCCCCATATCGCCATTACACCGGTGCCTGTGCTGAAGATAAAGGGCTGGCGAGCTTCTGTACAGACACATGGCTCTGTTCACATGCAGAATTGATCTGGGCCACCGTCTGTCCAACCGGGTGATAGAGGAGCAAGTCTGTTTCTTTTCTTAATCCACACAGCTTTGCAATGGGCTCTCTCCTTGGGATCGAACAGCCTTTCCATTTAACAGCGCAGAAGTTTACAAAAGACCACTGAGGGAGGAGCCTAACTCCTTTTCTAAATATGAAACTAACAGTGAGGGGAAAAACTGAGATGTTTTTGATAGACATTCACTTAGCACTTCCTCTAAAGTGCCAACTCAACAAACTTAACTGAAGAAATAAAACCCCTTTCAAAACAACTGATCCAACATTGAGAAAAGTTCTCAAGTATGGAGGATGACTGACACCTCCTCCCTAGTGTAAAAATAATCTGAAGAGGTAAATTATTTATGAATCAACTAGAATTCCCTCGAAAGTCTTTCAATGAGTGTGGCAGCACATCAAAAAGGGTCTTAGGGAGCGTGTGTGTATGTGATAGAGAACATCCCAGGTGAGCGGAGTTAGGTTGGGAGCTATAATTGCATTCCTGCAGCAGGGGAAGCCCAGGGGTCAGCGGCCCATTTTTCTCACACACATCTCTGTACTGGGTGAGGTGGGTCAATTGCACAGCTAAATGTGTTTTCCTTTGACTCCTTAAAGGCCAGGCAGGGCCTGCCAGAACTCACCTTGTCTGAACTACAGCTGCCTAGCCTATAAATTAACACACACGCCACTTGAACAGGTTGATCTTGGGGTACATCGTGAAAGAAATGTATGTACCCGTATTAAACAGCTTTAAAGTTTCTGGTGATCTTTGAAAGGGATCTTCATTAAACTTTAAGAAATGTTTCTTGAGCACCAAATCAGCATACTAGAATGACTTCTAATAGATCATGTGACACTGAAGACCGGAGTAATGGCAGCTGAAAACTCAGCTTTGCCATCACAGGAATAAATTACATTTAAAATATTTTCAAATGGAAAACAGTTATTTTAAATTGAAATAAACATATATATATATTATGTATTGAAATAATATAATAATATTATATTGAATATAATAATATTATTGTTTTTACTGTATTTTTGTTCAAATAAACACAGCCTTGGTGAGAATGACAATATATAAGAAAATGAAAAAATGCTTACCTCTGAAACCACCTTCCAGTAATGTAGTAGCTCGTACCCTCTTCTGTCCGCACCACTCGTACTCCTCAAACCGCGTTCCGTTCTCTCCTTCGACATCGGCGGAATCCTCTTCTGTTCCACCTTCCCTCTGAGAGAACAAAACCACTTATCAAACATGCACAAATACATTTCAGTTGGTTCATTCAATATAAAAAGACAAAACCACAAAGAGTGACTACATCAGAGGAAATCAAAGCAGCGCTTTCAAATCCACTAACTTCTAATGATGTCTAATTTTAGGAGCTATCAAACCACATGCAACAGAACACCCGAATCCAACCACCAAGAGTGCATTAGTATCATAAGAACTACTGGATTAGATGGGTCAAGAGGAACCTGCTATATAATATAAAGGGCAAGTGCTGCATCCTGAACCACTAAAATGGCTAAAGAGGGAAGCCAGACAGACAGTGTGAACAACAGTTTCCATTGAGCCTCTCTATAAACTCAGTGTTTAATGACAATATAGTAGAATATCTATAAAGTAGGTTCAGGACACCGAAACTGCCAACCAAATCTAAGTGAAGGAGGAGGAAGAACACTTCAGAAAAGAGCTAATCCTTCAACTATTCCCTGGACACCCATGTAGGAATACAACATAGGTGAAATCATAAAGAACTAATTCCCAAAAACATTTATATGTACAGTATGTGTGTGTCTTTTGTCAGATGACTGATGTCCAGGGAAACGTGAGGGCAGAAAGTCCAAAGCTTCTAGAGGTTGGAGGCCCAGATCTCTGGGTTTATGAAGCTACCTTGAACAGACATTGTTCCACATGCCTACTCATTTCCTCCTCCGTCCCTGTCAGCGGGGCACTGCACAGTGGACATACCTGTCCATCCTCAGGCTTCCGGCGCTTCATCTTCCCAATCCGGGCTGCAGCACAAAAAAAAAAAAAGAGATACCACATGATAAATCAACGGAGCAAAGCGACCATAATAAATACTACATACATAATCCATACTGGCACTGAGCTGTATATGTAATTAATATATATTTATTAGTGCTGTCAATCGATTAAAAAACAATTAACTAATTAATCGCACATTTTTCTGAAATTAATTAATCCCACCTAACATTAAAGTTTTTAAATATACTTTTATATTGCAATAATTTCACATTCAATCTTGAAATGAATGTACAAACAACAAAGACAAACAAAAAAAAGTATATTTTTTAATGGCATCTTTTTTTATGACTGAAGGCCAGTATCAATGATACCAATACTGATTTCTCTATAAAATTGCCCCCCCAATATTTAACCATTGACTATAGCCATTCAACATAACAGTATAATTGAGAGTAGGGGTGTGCGATATATATCGTCTGCGATAATATCGTAATTGTTGTTTTAACGATGTGCGATTTGACATTATCGAGTATTTTGCAAAAACCATTCAAAACATCTCTACAGAGCGCACGCATACATTACGTGAAGTCTAAACTAGTGCGTGTGCGCATTTATAGTGCGTTCTTTCACTGCATGATTCAGTCTATTAAAATGCATTTAGAATTACATAATGTGAAGCGGACTCTACACGCATGCATTTCTCTCAAATCTTTTTACGTTTTCTGACCCACTTCAGGCCTTAAAGTCTCTATTAATGAGTTGAATCGGGTGTGTTAGATGAGTGAGACAGTGCCGGGCTGCTCCAGGACAGTTTTGAAAACCATTTCATAGACATGTTCTTAAAGTCCCCCTGTAGTGAAAATCAAGTTTTTTATGTTGTTTATTTGTCTATGTGGTGTTTTTAATATGCTTTTAGACAAACCATGTGCCAATCTATTAATCAACACCATTGCTGTGTATTTTCTCCTTAAAACTGTAGTTTCCCAAAGGCTGACCCAGAAATATGGTTTGAAACAGCCCTTGGTTTGCTATGTCACAAACCAATAACCAATCACGTAAATGGATCGATTCCTATCACTAGCATGCTAAATATACCAATACCAGCACAAAACCAAAAATAAATCAGAGCAAAAAACCCATGAAGCTGTGGTTTAATGTGAATTTAGAACCGCTAACTTGCATTATAACCCGTGGCAACAGTGTAAAAGTAGCCCGGAGTCAGACGCACCTCTCCCGCAGCTGCGTCTGCACTTCACACGCGTATGTTCGTGGGCGCGAATTAAGAATCACAAACGGCTGCATTCGAGTCTTCAAGGCATTTTAGGACACAACATCGTCAAGCAAGTAACTTTAACGAATGTTACAGTATTCACTGTAGTTGTCCGCTAGTAAAAACATAGTTTTATCAGTCATTATCCGTGTATGCCATTGTTTTGCGGTTACTACAGTTCAGTGGATCAGGAGGCGCTGGCTGGTGCGAGTGAGTGGAGGCGGGACTAATTTGCATATTCATAGATCCACATATAGTAAATGAGGCAAGGGTGTAGAGGTACATTCAAGCTATTTTAAGGCATGAGAAAATTATTTTCACAAGAAAAAACATTGAAATATTTTTGGTAACTTCATGACTTAACTGACCACGACATTGCATTATTTCGCGCTTTGATATGAATGGATACAGGCTACAGCATGCGCCGGCTCCTTTGTGTGTGCAACTGAAGAGCACGCGCTGCGAGCACAGTACCGTTTCCGCACTCGTTTGACTCGCGCCGAAGAGAAGTGGAGCGCGCGTCTGAAACGTTCTGCGACTAAATAAATGCACTTCTTGTCAAGAGAAAAAGTGACAGAAGCAGCAGTTGTGAATGGGGTGGACAACCCTAGCCCCGCCCCTGCGTTAAATATTTTTAACGTGTTAAACTGAAAAAATGTATCGCCTGCGTTAACGCACTAATTTTGACACCACTATTATTTATATATAAATATATTTAATTATTTACATTAAAACTTGGGAAGATCAACAGCTAATATGCACGACCAAGGATGTCACAGGACACACAAAATGTCAAACTGAAATAAGAGCATTCAGAAAGAGTGAGCAGCATTAAGCTAACATAAAAACCCCACATAGATCAGGATCCTTTACAGATTTATCTTGAGGCTAGTAGGCATCTCTAGCCACAGATTTTACTGAGGCAAGACAGATGAGTTGCAAAACACGATAGTGACGTGATAGGGCTCGGCTCAGAGGTGAACTCTGTTAATTAGACCTTTGCACCCAAACACCAATTCCTCCTTGATACATCAGGGACAGGCACGAAAAACGGCCAGAGCTCGGATCTCTCGGGCTGTCTCACTCTTCCCCCTCCCCTGCCCGATCACATAATTAGAAATGTAACACAGCAGAACAGCGCCTATTGCGCCGTAAGTCTCTGTCGCTTTTTCTTAACTGCAAATGGCGTGTGGGGACATTAATTTTTAGGTGACTGTGATTGCGAATGGGGCCGAGGGGGACTGGAGGAGGAGAGGCAGGAGCTTCTGCCATTACCTCCAGGAGAGGGAGAAGAGAGAGAAGCACTGACCACGTTGACAGTAATGTGGGGGAGATGGGCATCATTAAATAGCACGAAGAAAGGCAGATTAATTAGGCACGGCAGGAGTTTTTCCTCATGCTGAAATCACAGCGTCTCAGATGAGAGGTGATATACTTTAATACGGGCTCAGGTTTAAACAAAGACAGCCCCATTTACCCTTACAGTGCCTGCGGCTGCGATAAAGGGGGGAGGGGGTCTTACCATGCCGCAGGCAGCAAGGGGCTAGGGGCACTCCTCTGGGCACTGGGATTGGGGGACTTTTGAAACTTTCCTTGGTGTTGCGCCTGCACCAGCAGAGGTCATCGACTGTTGACACATGAAAAAACCAAGGGTTAAGGAGATTCTCTGCTTGGGCAGGCGCTACAGTCAAGGGAAGTGCAAAAACAGGTGGCCACAATTGACTACAAGCTATACTAACTATAATAAACAGCCATGTTATTTAATACATGATAGCTTAGGCTTGTAGAAATCACCTAATATGTGGCAAGGGTGCTAAGGTTGACATAGATGTCAAGCTCCTGGCAAGGCCACATGACAGACACTAGTGCCGATAAGCATTTGGCTGATGCACCCTGAAAGGCGAGGAGCTCCTTATTCATGCCAGACGGTTACCAACACCCAGAATAGCAACTGGCCTCGGGTCAGTGAGCTCCCAGCTCACACCAACCCTCCCCATGGGTGCGGCAGCTCCATCACACCCACCAACTAATGACTATGAGTTGGGGTTCAGATAACCATACAAAATGACTAGACTCGCTGTCAGCATATACCAGCAAGACGAGTCTTCAGAGCATGTAAAGTGCTTCAAGTAATGCTCACTGAGCAGAATGTCACCCAAATGCCTTAAACCATATTATTTTATCAGGTAAAGATTATAAACGATCTTATCACAATCCAATTTTGAAGACATTTTTGTCAGGTGTTTATTATTAGCTAATTTTGACAGGCATGAGAATTTATTAAAATCAACTAACAAGGCCATTATTTTCATCAAATATTACTGCATGTAATCAGACTCTAGAAGACGATGTACTGTTAAAATACAATTTATTTAAATATTACTACGTATAATTGACTGAATATTGCAACTTTATATTGATATAATGTTATCAAATAATATTAATAATTGTTATTATTTTGATAAACATTACAGAGTAGCCTGCTAGGAAAAGAACAGCTCTCCATATATTAACTGCACTCTGTACTGATGATATAAAGTATCACACTATTTAATGGATGACAATTACGTTTTTATAAGTCATATGTCAACAGATAAACAACCATAATACATCACTTTTCTTGTTGCAAGGAGAAAATATACATACCATTCAATCGTGTTTGCCTGTTAGCTCGAACTCGTAAAAATGTCTGCATGTGGGGGAAAAAAAAAACAAAGAAAAATCTGTCAGTCATTGAAGTTTATTTCTCATTTCTATAAAAGGACTTTAATGATGCGCGTATCACTAGATTGCGCTGGATTCTGCAGCAGATCCCTGACGTCTGAATGTAAACAAAACCTACTTCTCTCTTGCCATTGCTCTGGAACTCCTCTTCCATTGCAAACGCCACAACCCTCCAAACTCATTTGGTTTACAAAAGCATGAAGCCCGGATAACTCTCCTTCAAAACGCCGATATTAGACTCAATAATCAATTTACGAAGGATGAGTAAGGATTGAAAATGTTAGGCTCACTACAGCAGTTCGTTTCAGCGCGCCATCGCCGCCATATTGCTACCGGTCATGTGACTCTCACGTCAGAGTCAAAAGGTTCAACTGATGCAGTTCCGTCTTTCGCCACTGGGGCGCAGCAGTATGTAAACGACGCATATGATCTGTGCCGCTTGATTCAGTTTTGTTTAAGACCGAGGTTCTCAACTCTGGCCCTTGAGGTCCACTTTCCTGCAGAGTTTAGCTCCAGCCCTAATCAAACTCACCTGATCAAGCTAATCAAGCTCTTTCAGCATTACTAGAAAGTTACTGGCAGGTCAGTTTGATCAAGGATGGAGCTAAACTCTGCAGGAAAGTGGACCTCGAGGGCCAGAGTCAAGAACCCCTGGTTTAAGAGGTCTCAACAAACTCTTCTGGCTTACAAATTATGCTTCGTTCAATCATTTTTTTTTTTTTTTTGGTACAATGAACTGTTCATGATAAAAAAAAATATATATATATATATTTTAATAAAGACATGCACGTGAGATTAATTATTTGAGTCACATTTTCGTTTATGAGCATTGCATTTCTAAATGTAAGAAATTAAGACTTGTGTAACTGTTTAGACTATTCCTTCTGATATTTTGTTACAAAAAAGCAAAAGAAATACAGTATCAGATTTTATTCAGTATTCACCCCACAAATATATTTTTAACCGTTACCCCACAAATATGCTGAAAAATGTTATTTTCATTAAAAAAAAAACATTTATGTAATTTTATGTGACTGTCACATTGAACAGAAATACAGGAAAGATACACACACATCAAAATAATTCAAGTTTAAATATATATACAGGTTCAAACTGCTCTAACAGTTGGCTCATGTATAATGTCTACAGGCAGAGAGCCCTTCAGAAAACTCTTGAGCCACTGCTGTTAAAAGTCAATCTATTTTATGATGAAACACTATATTAATGGCGCAATGTGTCCACACCAGACAGATTGCGTTACAAAAAAAAGATGATCATGAATTTTAGGAAAAAGGCATTAGCATGAGGTGATTTGAGCAGCTTCATTAATGAGAAGTTCTATAAAAATCCTCTTGAAATTGTGCCATTATGTATTTAAGGCCTCTTGACAATCATTGTATATCAGTCAGTATTACTTTTAGCTTTGTGACGTTAGAGGCAAATTCTAAAGACTTATCAGGACCATGCAGGAGAGCCTTCTTACAGCTAATGTGCAAAGATCAGTCCTGATATTGTTTTAATTGAGAAATTCTCCCACTTCTATAGGGTTGAGGGGCAGATAGAGATGCCAGACAAAATGTCCCACAAACCCACAGCTCCAGGGGCAAGCAGGAAGAAAACAAACATGTCAAGGACACTGGAGCACAGAGATGATATCCGGGGCTCGGGGGCAGCATAGATTAGCCCAGGGTTAAACTGTGGATGATTACATATCAGAGCAGAACACACATTACAGCCTGAGTAAACCTGGGGCTGGAGATTAGCAGAACAGATTTCAGCCTGTATTAATACGTCCGGCAGTCAGATCCAGTCTGGGATAAGATGGAGGATATTGTGGAGGAGAAAAGCTGGATACACATATACGTAATTTCATTATGTTGTTTTAAAACATTTTGGGTAAAATCTTTTCATTTTCAAGGACATTTAGTTGAATTTATAAATGTAAATTGATGTAACTTAATTTGTGTCAAAATTACTATATTTAATTTACTATATTTAACTATGTTTTTTTTTACAACTTTAATGTAGTAACAATACCTGCAGTAAGTGGTGGTTACCAAGCTACATTTGTGTAATGTTTATTTTGAAGTCATTACTTTCTGTTGACAGAAATCCAGTTTCATTACATCTCAGGTAAAGCACCAACTTTGACAATGTGCACGGATTTCACTTCAATTTGAAACTCCCACATATTGAGACACTCGCAACAAGCTAAAACCCAGTGAAATGAAGGGCTGCATCAGAGTGGAGAGTTTCGGTCTGTGTGTGGAGTTGTGCTCAGAGTGTCAGAACTGCACAGTCTGTCACTCTGCACCTGTGACAGACACTCTCTGTCTGAGGTTTCCCATCTCACCTGGTATCTGTCAGAATGGTGAGCTTCATCAGAGGAGAGTGGGGACACAACTGGAGACTCGCCCTCACGTTTGATGTGCACTGACAACAGGAGAGACTAGCGAGAGAGAGAGAGAAACAAAAAATGAGAGAAAGAGGTGAGCAGCCATCCACTAGACAAACGTGTCATCCACAAAACTGATGATGCAGCCAGTTTAAAAAAACACAAGAACTCAAAAATCGGTGTGTTGAAACAATATTACTGATGTGAACAATTGTTGACAGATAACCATTAACTGCCATTTCAGCTTTAAACTATGTGTGTTGACAGGACATCAGTGTTTAGAGTAATGGAGGCTTCGACAGAGGAACACACAGAAAGCAGGACACCAGACAGCATGACAGGACACTTTGATCGCCTATAAACATACCGCTGTGTGCCTGAAGATGTAACAGGCCTGTCCTTCTGAAAGCCTAATTGACTTAATTTCTCAAATGACTTAGGAACGGGGGAAGGGGAAATACTGCTTACTTTCCCGAGAGTCTTGATCTCCGTCTTGCTTTTATGAGGTGGCTATAAAATATTTGTTTTTACAATCTGCTCTGATTAATCAGAGTGAGAGGAGGGGTTGCTGCTTTAGCGGCTGACAACTGTAATCTAATATTAATATGTGAAAAATGGCAGCCTCTCTCTACAGGGACAGTAAATTAGACATTATGCATGGCTCCTTATGCTTTTGAATCGCAAGTTCAGGAAACAATTTATTTGTGATCTCAAAACCTTTGGAGCTCAGGGAATACGGTGTGTGCCAGAGAGTGAGTATGAGCACTAAGTGTTTACACTGGTCTACTGTATCTAGTGTGTGATGTTTTACTGTTTCATTGTCCAATGAGAATTGATAATACACCCAAAATAACACATAAACAGCAAGTTTAGTACCAGGTAATCTGACTTGAATGTTATAATGTAAAAATGAATAAAATAATGTAATATAATTATAAAGGTTATACGCTACTGTTTAAAGGTTTAGGATCAGTAAGATTATTTAATGTTTAAAAAAGGTCTCTTATGCTCAACAAGTTTGCATTTAATTGATGAAAAAATACAGCAAAAACAGTAATGTTGTGGAATATTATTAAAATGGTAAATACCTGTTTTCTTTTTAATAACTAATTCTATTTTATTCCTGTGATGACAAAGCTGAATTTTCAGCAGCCATTCCAGTCTTCAGTGCCATATGATCCTTATTAATTATCCTAATATTTTCCTAAAAATCATAATAATTTCTTATTATTATCAATATTGAAAACAGTTTGTGAAAACCATGATACATTTTTTTTCAAGATTATTTGATGGATAGAAAGTTAATTTCTGTGACATTACAAATAATTTCTGTGACATTACAAATGCATTTACAGTCACTTTTGATAAATTTAATGCATTCTTGCTGAATAAAAATAATACTTTCTTTTAAAAAAATCTTACTGACCCCTAACTTTTGAACGATAGTGTATAATTCATTATCTTTGCTAAAAGATTTATGTTTAATAAATCTGATTACCGTGCAACATGAACCTCAACAGATTTTGCATTGAAAATTACCTTTATATTTACATTTAATCATTTAGTCATTTAATCATTGTATAAGTTGCACACTGAGGTGTAGCACAAGCAGTAGCAGTGCTGCAGATGTTAGCATGTTAACTGTGCCGCCTACCACTGTTGGCCTTTGCACTGTTGGATTAGGAGCCGCAAAGACTGGCATGGAGTCGCTATGGCAATGGCGGCTTGAGAGAGGGGTAAAGACGGGCCAACTCGGCCCGGGGTTAATCTCCTTTAGAACTAGCGAGCTGGGCCTGATCTGCTGCTCACCGTCTTTTAAAGGAGAATCATGGACCCCCTCCATGCACCATCCCAGCTAGCCTCTTCATTTTCCACACACTCCTACGGAATACTAAGTGTGCGCTATAGAATGCTCAGTCACGCCTCACACGGCCTGTTCTCTAACCTGCTCCTGTGTCTTCTGGCTCTCATGCTCTTTCCATACTCTCAGTTTCTCTCCAACTGCGGGTCAGAACCAAAGGGTTTGCCCTCTGCATGAGGGACAATCATATGAGGATGGTTTATTATTATCACCATTCTTGTTCATTTCTTCACCAGGAAATATGCATTTATTTAGAGATAAAGTAAAAATATATATCTCAAGCATCAGGAGAATGTCTTTAGTGAATGTGAGGTTGGTATTTCTGGCATTTGCAAAGGTTCATGGCATCATAAAATCCATAAACTGAAAGATAAATGCTTGATGTGTCACAATACTCTCCACTGACAATGTCACATCAGCCTGTAATTTGTTCTTCCTTCAAAATCATGGCTTAACGGGATAAGTTCATCCAAAAATGACAATTCTGTCATCATCTTTCTTTCTTTTATGGATATTTTAAATAATGTTTCAACTGTTTTTGTCCATTCAATGAAATTTACAAAATATTTTCTTTTGGTGTGGAACAAAATAAGGGTGAGCAAATGATGACAGAGTTATCATTTTGGCTGAACTATACCTTTAATATCCATGCTTGGAATTAAACACAGTTGTTTGTAGCACATCAAAACTCTATAGTGAATCATGTGGTGACTGCACTACATAATTCCATCAATGTGGTTGCAGATTTAATTGAGATTTAAGTACACTTGGCCTCTTCCTCCTTTTAAGGCAATGACACTGAAAAACACGGGTATCATTTTCCATGTCCAGGTCTTTTGAATAAGCAGTCAGGAAACACTGAAAGCTCTAAATAAATTACTGCAGGAAATAAAGCCAGATGTTTGCGACCACTCTCTCTTATAGTGACACAAGACACTTTTTACATCTTAGTCTATGAAATAGAGCACTAATTGCCATTAATTGTGGCTGAACCTATCAGTGAACATAATGATGGTGGACATCTTACCTTCGGTGTGCCTGGAGCTGCACTGATGTCTTTGTGTAATGGGTTCTTGCTGTAGGGGGAAAAAAGACACTGTGAGAGATGGCTGTAACCAGTAAAATTCTTCAGATAGCTATAACCAATGCCATGTAATCAAAATTGAGGAAACCAAATGTAAAATTTAGGAATTTGCCATAAAAAACCCATATATTGACCACTCTTCTGATTATCGAGGTTGATGTCTCGATGTCTAGCTGGTTATGGTCCTGCGTGTATTCGATGAGACTGAAACAGACTCAAAATGGCCATTCAAAAGGACAAGTTCACAGCTGACGTGCACTGATGTTAATTTCGATGGAATGTGATGTGCAAGAGCAACTTGTTGCCATGATGGCTGATCTATTTTGATCATGTGTCACAGCACTTGCTAAAAACCCATCACCTTTTGACTGAACAGAAACTGCAATCTGTCATTTCGGAGATGCAACTTCGGTCCCCTAAGGAGCTCGACTACACACGTCTCCTCCATCAACACTCACTTTAGCTCAGTCATATTGAGCGCTCCCTTGCTGGCCTCACTTAGGACCCGAGCGGGCCTTCGAGAGGACAGCCAAGACAAAAGAGAACAAAGCCACACAAATCACACTTTTAATCATCTGGAGATGGAAAATGGGACGCTACTCAATCCAGGCAGCCCTGGGTCATGCTGTATTTGAAACAATTACTGTCCAAAAGTACGGCTGCTAAGCAGATTTGGGTTATAACACATCTCCTCATGTCAAAAAAAAAAAAACAACAACACTAAGATACACTTCTAAATGCCCCCTCTGCACTCATTGGACACCCGAGTATCTCAAAATGCTCTTTTCCCAGTGGTGGGACAAGCAGGCAAGGCCAATGACAGAAAAACACTCTTTACTTGTTTAAAGATGCCACACAGGAACTGAACTATAGGACCCGACGGACATTATGTAATGCTATGTGTACAGAGAGCAAGTTAATTTAGGACTAGTGTGCAGACAATAATGCATAATATTATGCATAATAATGCATAATAATTACATTTTTAATGGAAGCATGTAAGCATTGTGCATGTGATCTTTAGGCAAGATACTGTTTAATCAAACGAGGCAAAAACTCAGTGAGACTTGCATTAATATCTCCCTTATATACAGTATGTATATAGATTCATACAGCATGAACTCTAAACCTTCAGCAATCAAACAGTTTTCATCTTTTTGAAATTCTCAGTTTAAAACGATTCACCATGTGCGACTGACTTCAAAATCCCACAAACTCCACACTCCGGACAAGCCAAGCTTTCCCTTTCCCCTCTCGCAGCCAAATTCAGCTAGACTGAGAAGAGGGCTGAGAGAACGAGAGTGAGGGAGCTGGTGAAAATTGAATAAATGCCAGTCGACAGTTGGGGGGTTTTAAGCTGGAGATAAAGATTGCTTTTCGTGTCGTTTGCCACCCGGATCTCCCTCGCTCCGCTGGAGGCAAATTGATTACGTGGAGAGGCTGGGAAAGGGTGGGGGAATATGTAGATTGCTGTGGCCCTCAGAGTAGGCAGACGGGTAAAGGGCATGATGGATTTCCATTTTCATACATGAAGAGCAGAGGACGAGTCAGGGGAGGGGGCATGGCAATGCGGCCACAGGGGAGGGAGAGAGAGGAGAGTGCGTCGGCGGGTTCCAATCTCACACACACTCACCCACTTCCACTCAGACATCTGCCTAATGCTACATCTTAAATAGTTTTCCCCATTTTACATGCACTCAAGTCTCATTTGGTGCAGAATGAAACGCTATCATTAAAGGGAGATTTACTACAAATTGCCACAAATTCGCCATGTCACTTCCAATGATCTGTGTGTGCTAGCGTGTGTTGAGCAGAGCCCCACCTGGGAGGAAGTATACAGGGAAGGAAGACGGGAGCCCAGAGTTCCACACTGATAACGTTAGAATCGATGAAGCAATGCGGTGACTGCTCTGTGTACTTCAGGAATGCTTAAATCTAGTTCAATATTGTGGATGCAAATGTTGATGTAGATTAACTGAAATGGGATCATTTTAATTTTACTGTAGATTTACAGGAAAGATATCAGTAACTGTTGCAATACTACTAAACCATGACAAAATTCCATGTTCTTACCAGATGATAAAGTGTTTTTATACATTTTTTTGATCACTTGTTTTTATTTATTTATTTTGGGTAGCCGCACCCACAGTGAAATCTAATTGGTCCAAAATGATGCTCAATATAGACATCAATTAATGGGATAATTCACCCAAAAATGAAAATTCTGTGCAGAATGGAAAGAGAAAATAAGTCTCGTTATTATGGCTAATGCTAATTATGAAATGGCTAATTATGAAATCAGTGAAGTAGTATTCCCATTTTACTCACTTAAAGGCATCTAAATCTCTATTCAATTGCAAACAGCCTTATTTCTCTTTCAGTTCATCTCTCCCTTTCTCTATATCCTAAATCAGTATTAGGCGATTGGACTGCCTATATAGCCTGGGAAAATAACTCTCAGCTACAAGCAGGGGTTAAAAGGAGTGCAGGAAAGGCTAAATCATGGGCCTGTAATGCCAAGCAGCATCCAACCCTGACAGGCCTGGAGCAATGATGCAATTTCCTTATATAACCACCACTATCAATCAGGCAGGGGCAACAGAGGCCCAGAGCCATGTCAGTGTCCACAGCTACTGCCCACAGGGGAGGGCGGCCCACTGCCCTTTATTAATTATTAAAACATAACTCCTCACCGCCGTGTGATGGATAACACTCATGCTGGAAAGACATCCTGCTGAGAATTAATATCTCCCTCTCTCTTTCTCCCTGTGTCCCTGTTCGAAGCCCAGCAGCATAATCTATTAAAACAAAAAGGGGGATATGCAGCACAATGCGCAGCTTGAGGTCTATGACATGTCTGTGACCTATTCAAACGACATTGTTTCTTGTTATGGCTAATGTTCCTTCAAGCTCACAGGATGAAACTTCCTGCCTGGTTTGGGCGGACGCTGTATGAGAACACAGCTATTTAACCGGGTCAAGTTGATGTACCAGTCTGAAAGCCTCAGGCAGTGGATGAATGACGGATACTGTGCTGGATCTCTGTGATCATCCCACCATGCTTAACCTGGCCACATGAAAGGCCTAAGTGCATGTGGGCTGATGGATGATAGGGAGGAAAAGCACCTGTTCTGCTGTTGGTCTTTGTTATCACTGGAGCATTACACCAGTAGCAGGTGTCTTCACTGCTGATTTTTAGACCAAACACTTATGTGAGGGAGAGCAGCCAATGTGCTTCATTTGTTTGGGAAACGTTGACAAGAACTGATGGAGCTGTCAGAAGACGGCAGGTATAGATGTGTGAGTCTACCTGATGTGCATGTGGGTGAGCCTCTCCATCTCCTGTTCCATGTGCTCCTGAAGTTCCCCTGGACGCAGCAGCACCTGACAGATGGGGCAGATGGGAGCCTGACTGTCATAGAGTGACACCTTCTTCTTACCTGAGAGAAAAACAGAAAGATAGAACAAGAGAAGATGAGGTATATTTATTATTATGAAAGAGTTTGGGAAATTTGTAGACATGACTTAACATTCAAGTTTCCATTGTTGGTCAGAGCCAGTGTTTTTATTGTTAACTAAAACTATTAAAAAGGGACAAGATCCCCAAAACATAATTTAAAAGAAGATTACATTTTTGGGGAGATCCTGTAAGAACACCCTAGAACACAGAAGTGTTGTCCCAGTTTTTATACAGTAAATTTGGAGATGAGCATGGGTCAGATGAGTGCTCAAAGTCTTTTCTTCTCTCTGGACTGTGTGGATTAAGTGGCTCAGATTTCTGCCGAAGGAGAATCCGTCATCCTCGGCCTCCTGTCTCCTGTTCCCTCATTAAACTAGATCCACAGCTCCACACAGACAGTTACGCCACTGAGCTTGTGACACTTCAGCTGTATCTCGCACACACACTTCATATACATTTATCAACTCACCAATGGACAACATTTCATCAGACACTGTAATATAAAGTACAATTATTCTCAGTTAAGGGGAAATGCACAGTGAATTAAACAATAAGGTGACACAACAGTTACAAATACATGAACACTGATGATTTTGCAATCCTCTCGAGGCTTTTTATAGTATATCCACCTAAACACAAACATCATTTTATCATAAACAAGTAGGTATGCGTACGTGCGTTCACATCTGAACACATGGTCGTGTTTATTTTTATAAAAGTCCATCCGTGTGGGTGGGTGAGTGTGTCATCCCAGGTGAAAAAGACATAGTATTAAATGTATTAAAAATATACTTGAAATTCAAGTAGTATGTTTATAATACATTTGTATTCCCAACATGCTTATTTGAAGTGCAATAAAAATATATTGAATTGCATTTTAATATATTTCTAAAAAGTATACTAGAAGTACTTTTGTATTAAATATATGCTTAGTTATACTTCTAAGAAATATGCTAAACAGAAGCATACTTTTAATGTATTTATAAAAAGTATACTAGAAATACTTTGAAAAAGCACAATTTAAATATATTTCTTTTTCACCTGGGATGGCTGCCTCTGAGTAACTAACACATCTTTTGCATGTGAATGATCTAATGTGCAGCTCCGTAAATGAGCGAAAAAACACTTCCTGTTTCACTCTTATATCCCTCAATCTCTCAGATCTGGAGCTAGCCAATCAAAGCGACTATTTTTAGCCCTTTGGGACAATAGATACTCCCTCAAACAGGATATCCTGGATGAACTCACTGTTACAGACAGACTACAGCTGTAAGTCATATGGTGAGTCTGCTTACCTAACTCAAATCGCAAATACATACACAAACAGGAAGTGAGGAAATCACACCTTTGGAAATTCTCTGAGATGAGCACATACTAAACCATTTACTACTAAGATTTGTACACTTTCTTCAAATGACATAAATGGTTCTAAAAAAAACTATAGTTAGTGATCATGTCCTAATATTTTACACTGTCAGTTCTCTGATAACATTTTATTTAATGTGTTTAACAGACATAAAGATGTAAAAACACCTTCCATTTCACACAGCGAATCCAATTATCAAAGTGTGTAAGTGTGTAACAAACGTCTGGTGTTTTGCAGTTTGGTCTTAATGTCTGGGAGGCAGCTATTGATCTGTTGCAGTAGGGGTTAGTGAGCATCTTTTCTCGAGATGATGAGGTAACTTGAGGGCAGGTTGCAAACAGATGTACAAACACACACATACACACACGCAGTGGGGCTGTAATCCTGGTTCTTCTCTCTACATAAAGCCCTGGGCTCAGTATGAACCCGTCCTTGGCTTCAGAGGGCACTGTTGTGTTTGTCTTGACATGATGTGTGCGCAGTTTGAGAGGGTGATGATCGCTAACAGTCCAGTCTATGCACACACACACTCACGCAGACAAACACGCGCGCAAACACATGTAAACGCTCACACACGTGCACATACATGCGGCATAGTCCCTCCGGGGTCGCATATCTTCTGCTCACATATTGGCCTGTCAGAACTATTTCCTGCAAAAGCACAGATTCATCAGTGAGGAGCTAGCAGTGTTGGGTCAGTGTTAGCATCCCCAAAACTCCCCCTCCCACCCCATACATCTCTCCACCTCCTCCCTCTTCTCTCCTCTCCCCAGTCATGTGTGCCTACGCATACCCATCCCCTATTCACCAGCACCACTACTTAACGGCCCCACACTCTGGACACTTTAAGTGACTTTGAAAAATAGGTAATCGATTACAATTCTGTGTGTCTCTGTTTCTCTCACCACCCTTTTCTCGCTCGTCCCTCTCTCCCCTCCCTCCAAGTCTGTCCAGCAACATCCTGCACTTCTATTTCTCATTTTCTGGCCCTTTATTTGTTTTCCGTGCTCTCCCCTGTCTTATCTCCTCTCACCTATTTCTCTTTCTTTCTTTCATGATATATGTGTATAGGACTATATTACATATTATTATTACTTTTATTATACATATTATGTTCTACTAATAATATAAATAACAATATACTACATAAATAGATAATGAAATAAAAGAGAAATTTATCCATTTTAAAATATTATATTAAAAATGTAAAATATTTTCCAAATAGCTCTGAAAATGATTATATATTTTTTTATTTTTGTGTGTTTGTGATTGAGTATATATATATATATATCCTCAACATCTCCCCACATCTCCCTTTCTCTCTCTTCCCTCCTCTCTTCAGCAGCGGTCAGCTTTATTGCCCTGACAAGATAATTTGAGTCATGCCAAAGCAATCACAGTCTGCAAGAGTAAACAAAGAGAGGTCCAGACCCATTCTAAAGCCGATAAATCTTCAGTCTCTCTTACGTGGCCATTTGCAACATGAAGTCACATAACCTGACATAAGAGGTTGTGTAGGAATGACATAGTCTGTTCACACATTGAGTCATTATCATACAGCTCTGTTTATTCTATAAGTTTGCACATTGTTAATAGGTATAACCTAAAATGTACTATGCAAATTGTAAATACTAAGTAAAATGTAAATTGTGACGCTATCAATGCATGTACTGTATTTTCTTGTGTACTTCAATTAATTTCTTTCCTTTTTTATCTGTTAACATGTCAGATGGTTTACTGACAGAGTGTTACTCTCACTCTGTTATGTGTGCATGATGGGATCTGTTACCAGAGCGTGTGATTGTGTGTATGTGCGCCCCTCTGTCCGTGTGTGAAGAGAAAATGAGTGTGTGTGCCTCTTGAAACTGGCTCTTTAATTCATCCGTACACAATCAATGGGCTCAGTAATGGAGTCATGATGGTTTGGTCAAGCGCTGGTCGGGACCTAAACCACCTCCCTGTCACTTGTCTCCCTGAAAACACACACGCACTCTCACTCACAAACAGAGAGCTGGTCATTTGGCAGCTTTGGAGAGGATTCACACAAAAGAACACACACTAAATCATCTGTCTGTCAGCACAGACTGATGAACACCTATATAGTGAAAATGTGTGTTTGTGAGTGGACATGGGTTTGCAAATACCTAAGGCTGTGTCAAAGCTTCGCATATATCTATGTGTGTGTTAGTGTGCAGGCCTAATGTTTTTCCTATAGACCGCCCCACTATGTGTGCGTGCAGTGTGGTGTGGTGTAGGTGTCCACATCGTCCCCAGAGAGGATTGACTAATAGAGACAGCCAGTGATTAATCATGTCTTCCCTGGGAGGGCTGGAGGGACACAAACACAGGTCTCCAGCCCTGGACAAACCCTCACAAACTCGTTATTTGTTATACTTTTGTACATTTCCAATAATTTGTACATTATTTGCTGTACTTTGTATATTTCTATATATTATAACATTTTTTATAAAATTATAAAAGTAAAATGATTATTAAATTATTATATACAGTCTATATGTCTATATCGATCTGTCCTTCTATATATCTGTATCTATCTATCTATCTATCTATCTATCTATAAAATCCAAATACTTTGGTAAAATAATTTTTAATCATTTAAAAATATTACTCATTTTCTTAGTAAATATTTTATATATATATATAGTAATGGTAGAAAATATACACATTTTATTCATTCAGTGCCCCAATAGTAATCTCTCTTTACTAAAATAAAAAGCACCATGCACCAGACCACATGTGGTCTCTAAAGTGTCCCATTCTTCTTGTCCATTTCTTATTCTTTCCTCCATCTCTCTGTTCCCCCCTTTCTCTCTCTAAGGGAGTGAATGATGGCTAGCAGAAGACAGAGAGATAAATCCTGAGGCATGGAGGGGGTTTGGCGCATGCTGCTCGTCAGCGCGTTAAAGATGATTAATGTGGGATGCCCCCCTGCGCTGGACCCCTGCGTGGAGAAAGGTGGGGACTCCGTTTAATCTGAAGGGCCGGCGAGACCAGCATGCAGAGAGGGGCAATAACAAGGAAATAGGACTGACAGAACTTTTTAGTGCTTAGATTTCTCACCTAAATGCCATGCAGAGAGAGAGATGTCTGTGACAGCTCTGACTGAGTGCTGGCCTGATCTTCTCTAATTTACCAAGATGGATGGTTCTCTCTCGCTATCTCTCTCTCTCTGCCTTCAAAAATCCCCTCTTTTCTCCCTCTCTTAGCCATAACACACCTTTATCACAGTACATACACTCACCCAGACCTCTATTTATTCTGATAGCACAGCTAATGAGGGCCAGAGCCAGCGGCCTCTCTCGGCGTTAGACGTTCCCTAATTATTAAAAGCACTTTCATCAAAGGTAACCTCTCGCTAACCCCACTGATGGCACAATTACACACTGGACGGCTGAGTTAGTGCATGCTAATATCTTAATAGTGTCAAACTTTGCTGCCTTGGAGAAGGCAGATTCGAGCTAACTTGGCCACTAGCTGTGTGGTGATGTAGCGTTCCCCTCTAGCTGCCTCTGACACTCCTCGTATGTTGTTTTACAAGCCGTTGGGTAAAAAAAAAAAGACAGAAAAAGAGCTCCACAGAAGCCGCCACAAAT